ATTTTTAGTATAAAACAAATAAAACAATTATTTTGTCATTTTTTCAACAATGGAGTAAATTGTAGATAATTATAAATAATGACTTGTTTAGAATTTTGCTAATTTACATTTGACAGGATTAAAAGACTGGGTTAGGTTAATAACTATTTTGATATATTTAACGAATATCTCATCCGGTTATTACTAAACAATATAAGATACAACCACCACCATTCGCTAACCAGTATTCGATATTCACCTGCAGGCTAAATATATGTAAAAACAAATTATTACGAAAAACAATTAATATTTTGCTTGACGGGTATTGTTAAATAAATCAATTCAGAACTATAATATATATTTAAAATTTACCATAAAATGTTAAACATTTTATAGTATAAATTTGTTTCTACGTTACTATAGTCCTTTCACTTATTGATGTAGGTAGTCTAAATCGAAAGTATTCGCGTGCACTTATAAGTAATATGCTCTTTAAATAACTATCAGTTCATTGCTATCTGTCATGAAGTTACTCAATGTTTAAGATAAAACGAGTTTTCTATTTATTGATCACGCAAAGCTGGAAAATATTAATTACGATAATACTATACTCGAGGTTATTACATATAAAAATTGAAGAATAGACAACAYCATTGTACTTATTCATCAGTCATTACTCTTTTGGTATTATTTGAATTATATTTTAGTTTAAAGAATAATGTATAATAAACGTTATTATAATATCATACATTTTTTACAGTTATATTAAAATTGTAAGTGACTTAAAATACTTTATGTTGTTGCTCAGATTGGTGTTTTGAAAACAATAAATTTAATTCACTATGCATATACCTATTGATGGTTCGCTTATTATTATTATATATATATTATGTACTGATATTTTTAAAAGATAATGATAGTACATCATATTCTTAGATCATATACTAATGCATTTATTTGATTTTAAATGCATCAACATGCATTAGATATGTTGAAATTCACCGTCAACAAAGCCTAGACGTGATATGCAAGTTTTTGAAATCACTTTTTTATTTTTGTAGTGTTTAGAAATGTAATATATATGATATTAAGTTGATTCAAAAAATGTATGTAGGTACCTACGTTTATTATTTGCATATATATGCATGGATATTTTTGTATTTTGTATAGCATAATTTGTACATTAATGTTGTAAAATATTTAATCATCTAAATATTTTACTATTGCAGGATTTATGTTTTTAGAAATATAATTAATAAATAATTAATWTTATGTAAGATAATATTAAGAAGAGATAATACAAACTGTTTCAATGGAAGTATTGATTATAAATAGTAGTCACAGTACTACTGGCCCAGTAGGTATAATTTACAATCAGGTACTAAGTATAATGTAATGGCCAATGAGTTGTTTTTTTATCATTAATAAAATAATGTTCTCTCATATATGTAATATACAATTAGATTAAGATACCAGTTATGCGTTTTGTTACCTACTGTAGATAGTTAGATAGCATATACAGATTATTTAGGCTGTATAACAATGCATCGACGTATAACAAAAGCACAAACGTACATAATATTTATTATTATTATTATTCATTGATGACATTTTAGAAATTCAAATGTTTAATAGATTCTTTAATCATTATTCATTGATGAAAGGTAATATGCATTATCATTTAATCTGGATGTCTGAATATCAATCACATTTCAAAAATATAAACTCTCAATTGAATTTTAAATGTTAACCTACAAATTTCCCCTTTTGAAATTAATATACAAAATTGGCATGATATTAAATTCTTCTAAACTATATGACTTCAATCATAAACCTTGGTAATTATTACTTAATTTAAATATTTTATTGGGAAATTCACTGTCGTTTCAAAARACCCTGTGTAGATATTTATTTATAATGTAAAAATGAATTTCAAAAATACAAAAAATGTAATATTTACTCACTAATCTGAACCAAAACATAGCAAAAAAAATAATAATTAAAATAAAATGTGTAATTATGAATATATTATGATACAAATTATCATATGAGTAATTGGAGTGGGTTAGTCGGTTAGTGGATAATGTGTACCCGGTTTAGGTTGGTTTACCCAAGTATAATGTTATTATTTATATTAATTTAAAATTGAATTCAATAATTAAACATTACGTTATGGTAATCTGTGAATAATTATTACTTTTACATAAAATTATTGAAATATAAAATCAGTTCTTATGATTAATTCATAAATGAAGACTTTTACTTTGCGTCATTATACTTAGTAGCGCAACTAAGATCTATTTTCGGGAGGGGTTATTCATATAAAAATAAACTAACAAAAAGAGTCTTCAATTTGAAATATTTAACTTTTAAAAACATTTCGGGTATGAGGGGGCCTCCCGTTCACAACCCCAAAAATCTTCCCCTAGTTGCGCCACTGATATTTATACTATTACCATTTACGAGTTACGAGTTACGGAAAAATCGTTTCTATTTTGAACAATTGTTTGGTAAATAATGGGTAGGTATAATATTAAAAATGACTTATGTCCTTGAAATAATATAAAAAGAAACTCATCAAATATGTACCTATATAGTTTTATATTAACTTACTTCTTCATTAGGACTTGCTATTGGTTATGTAACATAAATGATTATACAGTTATTCTATAAAAAGTATAAATTGATATTATTCTTTATTTAACAGTATATTAATATTTATTTGACGATTTCTGCAGTTGATAAAAAAAAATATTATTAAATTAAATTATGTAAGTAAGGTTGTTTTAAATTCTAAACTATTATTCTTTTGAGTATACACCAATGAAGAAATCCATGAATGATTAACTAATGATTGACTAATAGTCAGCAATAGTATGATATACCTAATCAAAATAATTAAATAAAACAAAAAAAATGTCAAAAACTATTGTAACAATATGTTAGGAGCCTTGTATTAAATTTTCAAGCTTTTCTACCAAACAAATAAATTTTTATCGATATTAATTTAAAAAAACTAACAATGATCGGAAAATTRCATATGCCTAAAAATAGTTAAACTTAAGTCGAAATATTTTTAAAATTACATGGTGGATAAAATTTACTTATATGAACATTTGGTGAAAATGTAATGTATCTATTGTCATTTGTTTTAAAGTTACATCAAAAACCAAAATCGTTTTGTCGAAAACTGATTGTGCGTAAAAATTCCCGTTTTTTCCTTAATTTTTAGTTTGTTTATCCCGATTATTTAGAAAAAAMTTCCCCAAATTACCAACTAGATTCACTTTCTGGTCTAACAAGGTACTGAAGTCGAAAATGGAAGCATTTTTACTGTCCCAAAACGTGATGACAGACACAAAAAACACATCTTGATAAAATCAATACATTCCGCTCAAAATCTAAAATCTTTCTTAATATAATATATGAATAATACTGAGTTATAACTTTATAAGACTGAATAAATGATAAAGTAAATAACTCGAATTGATAAAGTGGCATCGAAATTATATGTTATTGGCTTATTGTTTAACTTAACATGATGATTTTTCTAACAGGAAACACAAATTTCTCATTAGTACCATTGATTTTATAATATACCATTTATACTACTTATTATAATATTTTATAGTATATTATAAAATCAATGTTAATACTTTTCGAGATAGTGAGTACTGAGTGTTTGACGTTAAAAGAATCACGAAACGTAGGAAGGAAGTATAACTATTTTATCCCAGTCACTATAATATTTACATAACTTTTAAAAGTGTAAATGCCAATAAATAGGTAGGTTATATGGTTTTGTTGTGAGGTAAATATTTTTTTCGACAAAAAACAATTACTCAAACACGCCACTGCTATTTCATTGAATAAGTAGGGGCAATTATATTACAATACATTGRCACTAGGTAGGAATATGGATGTACTCTTAGTTGTTTTAGCATGCGAAAACATCTTTAGAATAATATACATTCTGTTGAACAATATAAGAAATATTTAGTACTGGGACATCGCAAGAGAAAGTGTTTTTGTGTTTTTAATACTACACAGACATTGATTTTTGTGTTTCTTATAACAGTTATAATAATTTATTTTCTATAAATCGTTTGACAATAACAGGTGCGTATACTACTACTACTACTATCTATATAATTTAGATCTTAAATTGTAGAATATAGTTTTTTTTTATAAATTTGTGTAAACATTATACCAGCGAACTGATAAATTATTTTCACGAGGAAACATAATATTATTTATTTATCTATATGTTGTTAATGATGACCTACGGATATTTTTGTTTTTTACTAATTATCTTTGTTTTGTAAATAAATAGTTATATTATTTKTGTTTACGCGTGACATTAATGTTTTTTATTTTTTGTTTTGGTATTGGAATTTGAAGCATTCGAATTCCTTCAGTATAAAATTAACAAAACGTAACATATGTAAAGAACAAGAATACTTACAAAACTTTGGTATTGAGTATTATTTTTCTAGCATAATTTCTAAAAATAATAGAATTGAAAATTCAACTAAATTATACAGACTTAATTAGTTTTCAATTTTAACAATGTTACAAAGCGTTCAAAATACATATATTCATATAGTGTTTGCATAATATTATACGTATATTATGTACTTTTAATAATATTTTTTAAGATTATAAAAACAAAGATTTTGTTGAAACAAATAAAATTTAATAAATTAAAAAAAAATATGTTTAATATTATAGCATAATCCTTTTTGGACTTTTAAATTAGTATACTAAAGCTAGACCATAATAGGGACAAATTTTCAGGAGGGGGGGGGGTTAAATTAAATAATAGTTTCACTGTAACTAGGTAATTAAAAAAAACCAACTAACACATAAATTAAATTTATTAACTATTAAATATTTCAGGGGGGGGGGTCGAACCCCAAAACTCCACCTCATATACGGCCTTGTACTGAAGTATGAATAAAAAATATGTTTTAAAGAGTTATGGCTGTATAATATTAACGTGGATTTAAATATGTTTTCAGCAATGTCACCGACAAAAGCTTCTGACAATACTGTAAATGATGATTGTCAAAAAAATTACATGGCCCCAGATGACTGGTGTACATCAAGCTACGATTCTTGTACTTTACCGAAACATATTCAAGAAGTGGCTTTAATTCAGTTACGAGAAAATGAAAGTGTTCGTAAGCAAGCGATTTCGGCGTTCCGACAGTGGATATCAAAAAATATGGATGTTCAAAACGTTAATACAGGTATGGTAAATAGTTATATTTTAAAATATTACTATAATATTCGATCAAAAGCTTGAACATAATTTTAATCACCCTATTTAGTATAACCTAAAGTGAACWCTAAATATTTATTTAAGAATTAATTGTTTTATTTGAGTACAAAAGATGTATGTTTAAAATTTAAATAATCAAGTAATTGAAATATATAATGGTTTATTTAATAAATATGAAGGTACTCTCAATTCGTAAATCTGACTATTTTAAAGTATACAATGTACAGTATGTACTCTCTAGAGTATCTAGAGATTAAAATTTTAAGTAAATACAAATATTTTAAAAATTGTGATAAATGATAATATTATTTAGATAGGTACCTATATGAAATGAAAATATTATATTTTAATAAAGTTAATTAAATAAAAACTTAAAATGAACTTCTTTTACGGTTATCTCTTATCAAATTATGATGGACAAATATGAAATATACGTGATCGTAAGATGATCATACGGTTTTATCGGCGGTATCAATTGGATTTTCGTTATAGCTGAAATTATTAATTTTATATTGACAATCATCATTTTAATGTGCTTTTATATTTTGTCTAAACTCATTTATCACTCATTTTGATAATCCGAAGAATTTCCAAACATGTCTTTAATTTTTCTAATATACTCATTATATCACATAACATATGCACTAATGAGTAGTAATGATAAAATATGCGAAATAAAATCACTTACATTATTATGCAACCTTTCTAAAAAAAAAAAATTAAAAAAAAGTTCTCGACCCCAATATAGTGATAATAACATGGTAATTTTAAATTTGTATGATTTATGTAATGACGGTTTTGGGTAGTATATAATATATATATACATAATACATATATATATATATATATATAATCAATTAATCGTGTAGAATACAAAAATATTTATTTTAATATATTTACCTATATGTTTTTTGTACTTATGGTTATTCATATAAAATATTATGATTAATATTTCAGATGAAAATTTTTTGTTACGATTCTTGCGTGCTAAAAAATTTAGTTTACCGATGGCTCAACAAATGCTGCTTAAATATTTAAATCTTCGACAAAAATTTCCAATGTACTTCATGGGCCTAGACTGTTTGATTCCAGCTATTAGCGAACTTATTGACTCCGGATACATGTTTGTATCGCCTTTCAGAGATAGCGACGGTCGGAGAGTTATTATTGGTACTGCCAGTAAGTAAGACAATACAATTTAAAAAAATTTCAATTATTATGTATCTACATTGTAGTATTGAATATAAGTATAAAACAAATTAAACTAATATATTTCGCATAAGTAGGGTACTAGTTAGAACTATTGGCCAGTAGATACTTCGTATCAGAACACAACTTATTTAACAGGGAAATTAAAAAAACATATGCTCAAATTTCCGTTTTTTTTTCACCGAGTTAAGATTGATGGGACAATATTATTTGAATATATTGCTCGGATTTCATTTTGAAGTTATAGCAATTTGAAATATATTTTGTATCATGATTATTAAGTCCCGTCACGCGTCGTGCTTGCAGGTGCACTGGTACRTGTAGATAAGTGATAGCACGATCGATAATTCGTGTGTAGTACCTCGTACGTATGCCTTTTATCCTATCCTGATTTACTTTAGCAACGTGATATTATTCACTAACGATGATCTACCGGAAATTTCCAGGATTGAGCCAAACTCAACTTTTGGAAACAACACAACATTATATATATTTATGACACAATCACTAATTATTTTAATTTTAATTTTTAATTTGATTTGTATTTTGACTGTAATATTACAGCGGTAGTCAAACGGGGTAGATGGTAAAGAGAATASAGAATAGATTACACATGAACTTTTTTATAGATATTAAACATTGACGCAACCAGAAATTTTTCATAGGGGGTCCGAAAAAATAAACCATCTTAATTTGTATAAATAATAAGTGTTTGTTTTTACTAATAATAATATTATACATTTCAAGGGGGGGGAGTCCAGACCCGGTTTCCGCTCCTCTGGTTGCGCCACTGGGTTTAAAACAGTAAGTATAAACCATGTTTATAATGATTAAATAGTGCATGTCAAAATGTCATTCACTCCCCTTACCACCAATGACAAAATTATTTGATTCCCACTATGTAATAAAGATACTTAAAGGTGCTATATTGATTGTTGTATTTGTGTGATTTAACACTATACATCTATAATATTATTATAGCCTATAGGTACATTTTTTATTTGTATAAGAAAATAAACTAATTATTATTTATATATATATATATATAAAAAAATTAAATATAACCTTAACAATTGTATGCACTAAAATGCAGGAAGTACCTATTTCCATTGTTTCAAAACATTCAATTTAATTCAAGAAAAATTCATAATTCGTCAATTTTTAAGTGCATAATTGATATATTATATATTTATTATTTATATATAGTATAATTAAAGAGTTTGCTTAGAAATAAATAGTTATCCTGTGATTATAATATGATGAAAAATTGAGATACCAAGTGAGATGAGATAATGCCTCACAGTCTACACACGCATAGGGTTTTTAAACTAGAATTATGAGCATGTATCACTTCCTCTCTTAAAAGTAAACCATCAATAAATATTATACCTAGTGTACTTATATTTTATTTTAYTTTATTTACAGAAGGCTTTGATCTTCGAAAATATAGTAATAGAGACTTGGGAATTGTGCATATAATTACGTATGAGACATTATTAAATGATGAAGTCAATCAGGTCGTGGGATTCACCCACTTTGGTGATTTTCACTCCATAACTCCAGCGTATATAACTCTATTCGCTCCAAATGAATTCGCCACTCTCATCAAGTGGGGAGAGGTAAATATTACAGATAAAAAATTTTGTAATCTGCTTTTTATATATTTTGCACATGGTTACMGTCTTACTTATATACTGATATACTTGGTATATTATTTTAATTATTATATACTTATACTTTTACATTTTTTATGTTCATTTAATAACCCGAGTGATAACCTATACAATTATGCACAATATATACAATTTATTTAATTATTTTAAGTAATAAACAAGCATATACCTATAATTAATTTTGTAATCATTTAATTTTAAATATTTTAATATCTGTATTCACTATTAATTTTGTTTATGAACACATTTACGTCCTATATATATTGAGCTGAATTGTATTGAATCATTTTCRAATGCAATTTTGGATTTACCGTTACTTTCATTTTTGAAATAATAATGTTATATTGATACACCGTCAGGTGTTCGCTTTGATCTTCTATAGTTTATATGCATTAATGGTTTTATAATAGATAATATTATGTTAAAATATTAAAATTAATAACGCATTAAATTTATGAAATATATTTTTTTTTAATTTTGCTTTTTACCTATAAGTATTTAGTATAGTTATTTATGTAAAAAAAGTCAATTGCCTTTTTTGTTTATAGCAATCAATTCCTATGAGACATAAAGCAATACACTTGTTGAACGTGCCATCACCGATCAAGTTTGCTTATGATTATTTCCAAACAAGAATAAGCCCAAAACTCAATGCACGAATGAAGGTATGCAACCAATAAAAATTCGTATTTAATATTTGATTTTTAGATTTTTTACATTTGTATAGTAGGTATTTGATT